AGATCTTCTGATACCTTGTGTCTTGTAAAGAACAACTACGCTACCAAGTTCAGTGTTTGTAAAATATATGATAACTTGAGCAAGTAATTTGCAGTTCAATGCTATGTAAGAATTGCCTTCTATTTCCTTCTTAGGGTGGTTAGCACATTCACAGTTTCACAATTGAGTCTATCAGTTCTGCAGCTTCTCATTCCTGTTTTTTTCTATTCCCCTTTGCTTTTGTTTTCTTTTTGTAACTTAAATGACAAGATGGAAGAAATAAGCTTTAAATGTGCAGGAATCTACACTGCAGGGCAGTTTCTTGTAAACTCTTTTTATATGCCCTAGGCTTGTGCAAGTTGGAGAACTTTGTTGAAATCAGAAGTTTGCACTGATTTACATCATCATTGTGTAAGCAGGTTGTATAAGACTTGGCAGCGATACTATGGGAGACAGAAGCAATGCTGGGCAGTGTGGGCTCCCCCTGCCCACCCGTGGCAGCTTTCAGCTCAAATGACCCATTGACTCCYCTGGGAGGGCAGAGCTGTAATTTCTGCTCTCGTCAAAAACCATGACGAGAGGCATGAAAGACCGGGAAACAATAAACGACCTGCAGCTTCAACACTGAAGGGAAATACAAACTCCATACTGTTTTTGCTCCTGCACTTGGGATTTTTAAATGAGTTAAGCAGCGCAGCCAAATATAAGGCTGCTGGGGTGCGCTTTATCAACTTTAAAACCTGCTCACAAGCCTCATTCTTCTGGTGTAACTGAAGCACCATTGAAGCCTTGATTCCAAGGGTACCCTATACTAATCATAYAGCAAAATGCAGTAGCTTGCTGAACCTGGTTGGCCTGTGAGAATCAAAGTGTCTGCTGGCTAGAAAGCTTGGTGGCAAGGTTAGGAACTACTCTACTAATAGATGAGTCACTGAATCTTAAACTCTGGAGTTCACTGGCTGAGTCGGTAAACTTTTGGCTACTGACTTAGGAACTTGAGGGTCTCTTAGTGGTTGTGTGATCAGAAGGAAGCGTATAGTTGTGTCTTCTCCCTGCTTGTGCTTTGGCTTTTGCTTTGCTTTGCTTCTGCTTTTTGGTGTAGCCAAGTATGGTTAACCCTAGGSACAGAAGGGGTGCAAGTGTTGTGATATAATTATTAGAGGTTAATCTCTCTTGCTGTCTCTCAAAACCAAAAGGGAGGGGGCGGGACACAGAACACCCAATAATAATAAAAATAAAACTCTTAGATGTAAAGGATAAATCCCAGTAAGGGAAAATGGTAAATGGCTCTTAAGCATCCACAGAGGACTGAATAAAAATAAGCTAAGAGATCGTGGCATAGCTGCTTTTGGTTTTATGCTTTCCTCGTGCTCTGTGGTTTTACTTTTTAAGAGTATTTGTTTGTGATTATTGCTTAGCACTGAATTTTTTTTGCTAACTTTTAATTAGTTCTTTAGAAACAAATGTTGGTTGATTGGTTGGATTTTTTTTCTTTTATAACCACAGTGTTGCTCTGCTTTCATTGACCTATTTCTGTCCCAGTGGGATACAAAACTCCTGTGATACCAAATCTTAGTCCTTAAAACACAGTTTACCTAATGTGTGCTAAGATGCTGTTTGCTTGGTTTTGTAATTGCTCCTTGCGGATGTCAGTATGCTGTAGCCCAAAGAAATTTAATCTAATGTAGAGAAATAAATACAAAAACCCTACCCAAGTGCCCAGAGACGGCTCTCCTTTATTGTTGAACATATATCTTTCCAATAGGCTCCTAAAACAGGAAGTATTTGAATAGCACTGATAATATTGGTCTGACATTTTTTTTTTTTTGCATGTTCTAGTGAATATTCCTGAAATACTGTCTGGGTTATGTATCTTCTTCTTCTTCTTCTTCTTCTTATTATTATTTTCAATAAAGTGAAAATTATACCTGAGGTTTGTTAGCATGTGGCACACCAGCAATCTAACCATCAAACAAGGTTAGATTTAAAGAACACAAACGAACTAAAAACATCAGTTGTTGCTGAAACACTTCATGGAGGGGGAAAAAAAAACTATTAAAATTGTAATGAAGTTATCACCCCTACCTTGTTCCCCTGCCTCCAGTACAGGTGCATCTCTGTTATCACTCTAGTCTCCTAAAGAATGTTTAGACTAGTTAAGAATGCATAACTAATTATCAGGTTAATTAAAATCCATTTCCTCACAGAATGCAATATAYAACTGCTGCACTGTGTAGACTGGGATCCAACAAACAAACAAAAACACCAAACACTTCAACTAGAACCTGATTTTTCTTTGATAAGCCACTTGGTCTCAGTTTTTTGCCATGTTCTTTTTGCATCCTCTTCTCTTCCCCAGTGCAACCCAAGATGCAAACTGAAATATATAAAAGCTATTACTGCATCCTGTTAAAATAATTAATTCCTCTATTGTTTTAGAGGCTCATCATTCTCTGCTGAGCCCTGTTGCCATAAATATATTSTAGTTTACAAACTACAATCTAGTTTGTGGTCTACAAAACTGTAGTTTTGATAGACACAGGACTGGGTTGTCCTATGGCTATAGGTAAATAGATATAAAACCTTTGCTTCTCTTTGGCGTTCTCTAGCCCTGAAGTTTTCATCTTGTGGTGCATTCACCTATGAATGAGTATATCTATATCCATGTATGCTAAATGAATATCCTGAATGATGATGATTACTTTGCTAATTTACAAGTTGTGCTTTGTTGAAATGTTACTTCAGCTTCTTCATCTGAGCATTTCAAGCTTGTGGGCAAAATTTCTCTTTCTTGGTTCTGTTCTTTTCTCTTCTCTTGGTTCTGTTACTTGGTTAGCTACAGTGCTAGTAATAAAGGCCCCCTCAGCTGGCTGCTTTTCCTTACYGCTTAACTAGGTTTGTGAGCAAGTCATTTCCTTTGCATGCTCCAGGGTTTGGGAGCTTGTTGCCCAGCTCTATTCTGACCATTTTCATGTTCTCACTCCTCTGATAAACTCTCACTGTAGTGTTCTTGTTACAGGAGAGTTTGCTGGTGCTGCTGCTGCTAGGCTTGTGTCATTCTTTCCATAATAACCATGGATTTCTTCCAGGATTTAGAACTTGCCCAGAAAAATTCTGTTTTCAGCTGAATCTCAGAATAGGATATCTCAGCCAGCAYAATATTTGTGCTTAATTTGGTTTGAACTGGCTTTGTTGCTCATATAAAATACAGGAGGGTAAAAAAGGAAAATTTTGCACTGTGAATGTTCTTGGAAATTCCACAAAGACAAGCATTTAAAACATGACATTTTATGGCTTCTTAGTGTCTCATGTCAGCTGCTGGTTTGTGCCTTGAGTTATTTGACCAAAAAAAGTCAAAACAGCCTCGATAATGTGGTGGGAGAAAAAGGATTCTGAGGTCTGCTCTGTAGACCTTTGCATGGCCTGTGCAGTACTGAGGGTTGCAGGCTGTACATGTCAGTAAACTAAAGAACTGGGRTGTACGTTTTTGTGGCCAACAGGTCAACTAGTTTAGAATCAGGTGTGAAGTTTAAAACATGTTAGTTCTGTCCTGTAACATCTGTGTGGTCCTGGATATCCTCCACGAGAACCCACAGCAGCTAGGAAATAGAGGCACAGCTGGCAGGGAGGGGGCAGATGCTGTAGCCTCTTTAATATCATCAAAAAGACCTTTGCTGACAGAAGATACTTATTCAGGGCCCTCTGGCTCAGTGACTTTGTCCAAGTTCATTGAGCTTCAGGGCAGGCTGCAAATCTATTTTAATGAGACACTTGAGGAGAGGGCTTTTCTTGAGAGTAATTTCCRGTGCTTTGGGGATGTTTGTTCATTCTTTTGGCTTTAGACAGCTTGTAAGGTATAACTGAACGTAGCTARTTTTGTCTTTTTTTGTTTTACTTTTAAATAACTGCCACAGAGTTTCTTATTTTGGTGTAAACTCCTCTACAGTCTGCATATATACATACAAGTATACAAATAAGTGCAGGATTGTCATAGCTGTCAACTTTTAACAGCCAGATGTTTTTTAATGTCCCCAGTCAGTTTCCTGACTGTTCCGGACTGTTAGATGAGTCTTGGAACAGATCTAGAAGATAACACTGGATCAGGGTGATTCCTGTGTTGTCTTTTGTGTGTTTCTGTTAGCAATTTGTGCCCCATCTAAGATCTACTTAATGAGGACGTTGCAGTGAACTTAGTGGTGTTATAGCCCTGTAAATCAGGGAAGATGTAGGAGAGAGGAAATATTTTGGTTTTATAGTCTGAAAATTCAAGTGCAGAAATTACAAGATTCTTTCCAGGAGCAGGGAGTGTGGATATTGGGAGAGCTGTATTGGACCCCCTGTCTGTCTCCTATTCCTTTCATTGTTGCTCATTTCTGCAGAGGCGATTCCAGGTGTCCTTGGAGGAGTTAAGGTTAGTGCAGCTGAAAAAGAGCAGAGAACTAATTTGCCCGAAAAATGGCCTGGCCAAAAAAGAAATATTTGGTTGGATCAATTTCTCAGTCTGACTCGCCAGCAGCTTGTGCGGATCCTTCCCCTGGGCTTGCCCTCCCCTGGTTCACTTGTTTGTCAATAGCTGCCTCATCGCAGAGCCGGCACTGCCGCAAATTACACACTGGCTTGTTAAGGAAAACCAAAATGAGTGGCAATTTACTTCCATACGTTGACCAGTGAACTGTGGCAGCCCAGCTGCTGCTACTGCTGCTTAAGGCAGCAAGTTCTTCGTGGCTGTGCGTGGGGACAGCTGTGTTGCAGTTGTACTCCTGGTGTGACGAAGCTGCAACCYGGTTGATGTTTACTAGGTGGCTGCTGAGTGTCTTTACTGCTGAGACAGTTTCTCCCCTCAGCTTTGCATGGAGACTTCATTTTGCTGCCCTTGTTGATCTGGTCCTTTCTTGCTGATAACTGCTGCTAGTGTCTGTGTTAAGGTTACTTAAACTGCCTCCCTTTGCGTAGGCACTATCCCTTTGGTTCCTAAAGCCAGCCAAYATTTACTGTGATACTGTGTTTTATTTTTTCTTTAGGTACATGTATTGGACTGACTGGGGTGAAACACCCAGGATAGAGCGAGCAGGAATGGACAGCAGCACACGGAAAATAATTGTTGATTCGGATATTTATTGGCCCAACGGCCTCACAATAGATCTGGATGAGCAGAAGCTTTACTGGGCTGACGCAAAACTGAGCTTCATCCATAGAGCAAATCTGGACGGTTCCTTTAGGTAAGTTCCCTTCAGCTAATAGTATGTTGTGAACCATTTCTCTTACGGTATTCATTTTGAATTGAGGCATTTACATTAAGCTAGAACAGTGGCAGGGCCTTATTGTTCTCATTAAACCTAACTGTTAATAATTTTGCAAAAATAAAGCAACCTCCTGCATTCATAAAATTCATTTTAAAAATGGAGGTAAATACATCTGTGTCATCTCACTATAGATTCTTCATAAGCTTCTATAGCATAGTTTTGCTTTTTACAGTTTATACTTACCTTGAAAACATTTGGAACACCTTATCACTGGCCCTAGGCAATCTAACATGCAAATAATGTTGGATTTTTACAACACTGTTACTGACACCTTTTTTTTTTTTTTTTTTTTTTTAATAAATATCTCTCCTCCAAGTGTCTTTAGAGGTGCTTATCCTTGACCTGTTCAAGGGTATTTTCATGGCATGCCTATAACAACCAAATTCAGCTCACTTGAGACAGAGTTAGCTGGAAGCTGCTGTTCCTGATGGGAAGCACGGTATGGCTGTTTGGTTCAGTGGGCTCTGGTCTAGGTGTCCCCACCGGGGAGAGGCAGAGTGTGCCCCTGTCTGAAGGGGCTTGTTTCGGATGTTTCAGTTGGTACTTTCAATTCTCTGCCATGGTTGATGAGTAGGTTAGGCATCATCTGCAGTGAAACATCCTGCCGAAGAAGCCAACTTCTGCCTTCTGCACCAGAGCTCTTTTCTTCACGTAGTTTAAAGGAATAGTCTGCTGAGTAGTAGTGGTAGTCGTACTGAGTGCTACACAGCAGCTCATTTATAGATGGTTAATAAAATGCTCTTGGTCTGATTGGATGAGAAAAACAGAATGATGCTGCCTTGAATAGGGCCTGCCCAGCTACTGGGATTATTTTGGTGTTCAGGAGAGGTCAAAGTAGGTGCTTGGGTTCCATTGACAGCAGCCTCACAGTGCTCAAGTCTTTCTGTTGATGCAGTTCACTGTGGGTTGTTTTTYCTTGTTTGTTTTTTGTTCTTTTCCTGAGAAGCAAGTGACGCTGTATTCCTGTGATAAAGTAACGCGTTTTTCTAAAAAGTGAGTTAGACAATTGTTGCCATCACAGAAGAGTGGAATCTATTGCTCTGCACTGAAGCTAAGAGCAAGAAATACTGAAGACTCCATTATCCAGCTTGAATCTTCTTGTCCTGCAACACAGCTTTGGATGCTGAGATTTTGGCAGTCGTTCTAAAGAAATCTGCCTTGAGGAAATAAACAGAGGAATGCTGGAATCTGGTGAAATGCAATTTGAATGGTCACTTGTCTTGGTGGTTGCTATCCTAATGTGTCAACAGCCCCCTAAGGCTAATTGGAAATTACAATGACTTCTATATAGTGCCAATCTATGTATTTTAAAGCATCCAAAATCTCTCTCTTATGAAATCATTTTGCCATGATGAATTTTTTTTTAATGTGTGTATCTGTGTAATAGCATAATATGCCTCACTGCAAAAACACTGCATTTTTCATGGTCTTTTCTAAATTTTTTTTAACAGAAATGTGTTGTATGCCTTATTTTCACACTCATAAAAGATGGATAACAATATTGACATCCTTTATAAAACACTCTAAGTTCCATTGATAACACTATGCAAGAGCTAGATAATGGTGGCATTGTAATAAATGACAAGTACTAAGTGATGGTCAGAAGTAGAGACAAGGGAAAAAGCCTTTTCAGAAGGGAGTGGGAGCTCAAAGGCACAGTGCAGGTTCATGGACTGAAAGAAAATTCAGAATCAAATTTTTCAAACATGTAAATATGTTGCTGTAATTTGGGGATGGGTAGTAGAGGGGTGAGTTTTTGTGATCTGATCCTGCATTTCTTGTACATATGCAAATTGTATAACAGTTGCTTGAAAACATATGTGTGTCAAAACTTGAAGTTGTAAAGAGAAGTTTGTAAGAGAAATTTATTTTGCATTTATTAAGAAAGAAGACAACCTGAAAGGGTTCAAGTCTTTGGACTATACACTAATCCCAGCAATCTGTCTCAATTGCTCGTGACAGATTAGTGCATGTGTACCTCCATGTCCCTGAGCTGCATGCATTTTTAGATTGTAGCATATGGGAAATTGATAATTTAGGACAAAAAAAGAATGTATGAGCCATTTGGACACAAAAGAACACCCCACTTTTTGTACATTAATGTATTTTTTTTTTTTGGTGTATTTTACTGTCGACTATTGGAGAGTCTAAAAATATGCTTAGTGTCAGGCTGTCTCCATATGGGATACATTCTGGAGAGCCGTTTTATTTTTGCAGCTGCATAGGGACTTTTAAAGCATTGTCCAGTATAATGGCCTGTGTGTATTTTAATGTATATTTTATAATGTCACGATATGGTAAAACTTCCTTCTTAAAATGTTATGCATAGTAGCGAAATTCCACAAATATTGTACTTAAGAGTTTTTWAAAAAGATTTTCCCATTATTCCTCAAAGCTGAGAATACCTTTAGAATGAAATTGGAAGAAAAAAGTGGGCTGCTTCATACGTGAATGACTGTGAGGGAGGAAGGGGCCTCTGTTCTTCAAGCAGAATAAGTTTCAGCCAGGCTTCTCAACAAAGAAACCTTGTGGTATTTCAAACCCTTCTGCTCCTATCCCAGAATCACTTCAGAATTCAAATAAAATGGAAGCTGGCATTCTCTGTAGTGGAGCAACCCACCCTTCATATATTAGGGATGTAATGTTGAGAGAGTGGAAGGCTTAACAGGTGAAATAGCAAAATGAAGGAAAATATATAGCGGCAAATAACTGCTACAACGCTAGAAATTTCAGCAAACTCAGCCATTGCTGTAAGTAACAAAGAAGCAACAGTAAAGGTGAGAGTRGGAAGGGAAAGCCCCATTTGTACTTTTTTAAATGTGTTTTATGGTGAGTTAGTATAACTTGAAGGACAGAAATTTAAAAATACTTTTAATTTTATCTCTGTCACAGAAGGTAGAAGAATTGTTTTGTTTTTTCCTGCAATTTGTTAACACTGGTGTGACGACAAATGTGACATGGTGACACAGGGGTGACACAGATGAACTCATGAGAATTTGGGGGGATATTTTTTCCAGGAAAATGTAGATGCTGCCATCGCCAATGAAAATGAAACCAAATCCTTTCCCTGTCAAGTGGTAGCTGATTTTTTTTTTGCCCCTAAACTCTATGGAAACAATGCAACTGTAGGTGTGATTAGAGGTATATGAAAATGTGTTCCTCCCTTTGCCTCAGGATGATGCTGACACTTGAGCTTTCCTAGAGTGGTATGGTGGAAAATCTGAATACTGGTTTACTATATCAGAACATTGGTTGGGAAGGTTTATGTTTGCTTCTGTACGTATGTAGTAGATGTGAATGTTGAGAAACTGAGTTCATACTGTTTTCACTGAGAAATTGTCAAATGTGTTTTCTCTTCATGAGCAAACATCCCAGAATTGCAGTAAGTAAATTACACAAAGTTATTACAATGTGTTTGTTCAGAAAACATGCTGGGTATGTTGCATCATTTGCAACTTTGAGTTCATCTCATAATAAATGATCAGTTCATCTCATAATAAAAGGAAGAGCACTCAAAAATAAGAAATAGGGTTTTGAATAGACTGGATTTTGTGACATGAAATTTTGTTGACTTGTTTTATGGCAGAGCCTGACAGAAGTAAATAGGATTTCATAAAAGACAGACTATTCACAAAAGATTATGTAATTCTGCATGTGATGTTTTCCTAAGTTTCTAGCTTCAACCTTGAATCCCAGGGTCCAACTTTCTACAGAATTWTAGCAGAGTGAAGAGCAGGTACTTTACTGAGGCCCAGGTTTATTGTGAGCTGTACCGCTAAGAATATCCAAGACCCTGCAAAGTCTCTGGTATTTCAAATGTCTGCAAAAACACTGCTGGAGAAATAAACTCTCCAGACTGGAAAAGTTTAATTGAGGGGGCAGGAGAAGGGCAAGGAAAGAGGGAACGTGTTAACAGAAATCTGTCATCGAGGTTGAACTTTTTTAGTGAAGAATAAGATATTTAAGGGATATTACAACACTGAGCTTTCAAAATTGCTGAACTGGATCTTCCCCCCTGCCCCCTTTCATGCAACTCCAACTTGGCTTGGGCCACTGCGGAGGGAAGGAAGTTTGGTGTTGGTACTAGACTAAATACAGTTCTACAATTCTAGATGCTGTTAAGCAGTCTGCGACCTTATGGTTCTGTGGGGAGAGTTTTTGCTCTGCGTTTCAAAATGTAATTTGAAAAAAAGAAATTTCTGCTATAGATCAAGCAGAGTAGAAATAACTTAAGGAGACTCTGAAGATATTCTTTTCCAACTGTAAGAAAGGATGACTGATAGACACGAAATGTGGAAGTTTGAGACAGTCTTGGGCAAACTTGGCATGTGTTGCATGAGAGGACAGAGAAGTGATGTGTTAACTGGGTGGAGCGTGGTGCAGAGCTGCTTCCTCCAAGAGGGGGCTGTGTCTGGGTATTTGCACAGTCCTGTTAGGGGACTTTGGTGTGGCCATACAGAAGCCAGCACAGAGCTGAATCAGATAGCTCGTTGCTATGAAACACTATATTTGTTTCCTTATTGCTGTAAAGAAGCTAAACAAAGTCCAAATTTTCATGTCTACATTTTGCATCGCTTCGTGTGAGACGCCTGCCGTTGCGCCCTGTGAGCACGCTAATATGGTGTAACTTGTGGTCACTGAAACTAGATGCTTGGTTTTCTTCCGCAAGCTTAGAGAGGAATTGTCAACCTTGCATTGCTATAGCTGCCCAGAGCAGTGATTTGTTCAAAAACATTTTCAAAGTGACTGTGTTCTAAGAGAAAAACTTATTTTCAAKCTCTAGACAGACAAAACTCTATAACAGAAGTATGAAGGTTGATAGTTTTTAAGATGCAACAGAGGATGACATATGACAAATAATTAATGAAGATATAAAACAAATACATCAGATATGCATTTCCTACAGATTACTATAAAAACTTGTTTTAATTTTTGCATGTACTTGTGACTTTCATCACCAGATGAGTCTAGTTCCAATTTATTTCTTAAAAGAAGATGATTCTTAGATGAGTCTTTTAAAATGCACTGATGTTTCTTCTACGTGTGCCCAGTGAAAGCTCTGTATGTTAGTTCTTGCTCTTTCTTTGATCTAGGCAAAAAGTTGTGGAAGGGAGTCTCACTCACCCGTTCGCCCTGACGTTGTCCGGAGACACTTTGTATTGGACGGACTGGCAGACCCGCTCCATTCACGCCTGTAACAAAAGGACAGGGGAGAAAAGGAGAGAAATACTGAGTGCCCTCTACTCACCRATGGACATCCAGGTCCTGAGTCCAGACCGACAGCCATACTGTATGTATCATTTCTCTGGAATCTTCTCAAATGACTGACTTAGTTGGTCAGGAAAACAATCATTTCCACAGTCCAGAATTGATGTTGATAATATTCAATCTGTAACAAACAGTTAGTTAATGTTTAAGTATGAGAGGGCCTTAGTCCTGAGCTTTTATGTGAAACAGATTTTTTTTTTTTTCCCATTGTGTGATGCATCCTCAATAGAAGCCATGTGTGGAGAATATAGAATTGAATGAGTCTGTGTGCATTTTGTGTTTGCGTGAGGGTGATTTGTCTAGGCTGGTGTGGGGTGGTTGTGAGAATGARACTTAGGAGCGGCAGAAGCAAAGGCAGAGATCAAAAAGCAATAGAGTGGGAAATGCAAGTAATGCAGCAGCCTTGGCAAGAACCAGCTCTTGCCTACGGCAGATACTCTTGCCCTGGGATCGGCTTATTCATTTCGGCTGACCCTAAAGTTTCCTTTCCTAAAGGTAGTACTTTTATAGGAACAGTCAAGTATATAGGATGTCAATGAGCRTGTTTGAAAGTGTGTACTTTCACATAGGTGAGTACCAGAAACTAAATTAGCCATAATTTTTTACATTAAAGCAATTCAAATGCTCATTCAAAGCATGAATGATCTGACAGTTTCATGTTTCATCTCTTGCAGTCATTTTTGTTCTTTTATCCCCAAAACTTTTGGTTTTTAAAATTTTTGAGGAACTGAAAGACAAAGTATTTGTTGTCTGCTTTTTCTGAAGTTGAAGTAATATCTAAGGGACTTGCATATGGCCTTTCTGTAATTCCTGTTAATTCAGGCACATGTCTTATTAAGAAAAGTCTGTGGTGAGAAAAAATAATATCCAGAACTGCTGCAATGTGCACATTCCTATACTGTTCTTTCCCTTGCAGAACTGTGCACTGCTCCACTTGTACTCCCTTGTTCTTTTTTCGTGCTGCTTGGCAGGCCAAGCTTTGACAAAGCAACTGGTGTCCCAAGTTCTTAGCAACGTGCAGCTTTAGAAACACTGGAGAACTGTATAGTGAGAAAGTGCTGGGCTGACAGTTCTTTCAAAATCATCGTTTGAACATCTCAATTTAGACGTCCCCTAAGAGTTGCTTTTGCTGGGGTGGGAGGTCGCATATGAAATACTCCTTATTTTGTGGTTCCTCTGTCTTTTAGCACTAAAGCTGGTGTCGGTCAATTCAGATCTGTAATTCCTTCCTTATGGAGGGAGGAAGGCTTTAGGGTTCCAGTAAAAATAAAATAAAAACAAACCTTTTTGTTTGTTTGTTTCTTGAAGTTCACACTCCGTGCGAAGAAAACAATGGTGGTTGCTCCCATCTGTGCCTGCTGTCGCCGAGAGACCCCTTCTACAGCTGTGCCTGCCCCACGGGCGTGCAGCTGGAAGATGACGGCAGGACTTGCAAATCAGGTAGGAACATCTTGGGCTTTCCACAGGAGCAGCACTGGCTTGAGTTGGGTTTACTGCGTGAAAGTTGCTGCTTAGAAGTGGAGTCTTAAAGAGGTGATTTGAGAGGACTGCTTGGCACACTGCAATTTCCCCATGGCCCAAGTGAAGAAAGCAGGAATTTTGCATCCAAGTCTCCTAGCAAGTTTAACATCCAGAGGGTGTGTGGGAATTGCATCACCAATTGAAACTCTTGGTGCCTTTTAACATATTTGGTTTTGTTCGTTCTCTGTAGAAATGAAATTGTGTGTGAAGGCCATTGTTGGTGTAATTTATTACAAGGGGGCTCTTGTAGGACGTCTCATTTGGATAGTGGACCATGGGCAGGGGTTTGTTGCTCCCCATGTAGCTGCTGATGCGGTAGCACCGAYCCTGCTGTTGCTTTCCAGTTGTATCAAAGGACAATTTACTTGTGACATGTTCTGGATGTTGATGTGCCAATGTAACTGGTCAAGGCTAAGTCCATAACTAAGCTATGAGCACAACTGAGTGTATATTTTATATCCATAAACTGAGTGAGGCAAGCTGATGTTTGGAGAACTTTTTTTTTTTTTTTTTTTTCTCTCCTTATGATCAATCAGGAACCCTCTTTTAAAACATGTCTGTTCTGAAAATGAGGGATTAATGCTGCTGTGGCTGGGAGGCTCATGGAGGGTAGGGTCCTGAAGAAACTTCTGCCAGTGGCCTGGAAGACTCCACTGACACGAGGCTGGCCAAAGAGGATAGTCATTTTTTGATGTGGCTCGATTCCTCTGAGTACTAAAGTAAGCATAATAGACTGTTTTTATTTGTGAGCTTAAAGCAGAGTTTGAACACTGAACCTACAGAGTTTAAGGGCCAGCTTCATTAGCTCATCCTGCTGCAATTGAAAGACTTATAAGGTAGTTTTTGCAGCTGCTGAAAGACCTTTCATTTCCCTTCTTCTGGCCTTGGAAAGTTTCCCTTTCACAGCTTTTAAAAAACATTGCTGAATGCTGAGGACACCCTTTTAGACGTCCATATTGACCCTGTGTTTCTGGCAGTGGGGAATGAAGGTCAGGCTGCTTTTGGTATTTTGGCAGATARCACAAACAGGAGCGACTGCTTAGGCTGTGCTTTCACCTTTCCATTGTCAGGCCAGACAGTCTGTCAAGAGTGTTGTGTCAAAGGAGGGCAAAAAAGTGGGATGGGAACAGGAAGTCTGGTTTTGCATAAGAATGTGGCCTTTTGGTTCTGTTTTATGGATTATTTCTTTCCCAAGCCCCACATCTTTTGTGGTCCTGTCTGCCTTATGCCAGCATCCATGTGCTTCTCTTTCCAGTCTTATTAATTAACTCCTTGTTTGCAAGGAGTTGACTTTTTGTTCTTTGCACGAGCCCTTTGTGATAAAGTTGTATTGGGCRCTACAGCTCAAGCAGTGTTGACCACCTCTGTGTTGTTCCCTATTGGCCTGGGCAAATATTATCAGCTTATTTAACATTATACTTTTAACTGAATTGCAAAAATGGTACCAAGATTTGTGCCTAACAGGAAAAGGTATTCTCAGTTCTCAGGAATCTGTGCCCTCATGGAGAGTTTATAGGTACAAAGATGTTACTGTATAGCTCCATCAATGAGTATTCTTGCCTAGAAAAGCCYTTTGAGGTTTTTAAGTGATTTCAGATCTTGGATCCTGAAGAGCATACATGTGCAGAATATTTGGATGAGGGAGAGAACTCAGCAGCTCTCTGCAGAGCAAGTGTGTAGGATGGTGATAGGCCTTGGTAATCAAGGGAGGAAGAATTCCCTYGCAGGCTCTTCTGCTCCCTGCTTTGTTACAGGTTGTGTCCTCATGCATTGAAACTCCAAAAATCTGCATTTTTGTTCTAATTCCAAATGCAAAACTGTTGGTTTGCTGAGGCTATGAGAACTGTAGCAACATAAATTGTTTCTTGTTCTCTAATTTTGGCTTCCAGTGTTGGTTTGTTCTTGCTTTCTTCATGATTTACACTGTTGCTCTGTATATGGAGAGAGTTGGCAGCTGACCTCAAGTACCAGTTGCTTTCTGTGCATGCTTGTTTTGTGCAGGTAGCTGCTCTGGTGCTGCTCCTCTGTAGACCTGTGTTGTTGGTCTGTTTTGCTCTGTTTGTCTATGGCTTTCTGTGCTCACTGACAACATGAASCAGTCCTTACAAAGAACCCAGAGAACTGCTTGCACAGAGCTGTTTACAGTACAAGGACAGGTTTTGTACTTGCAAAAGGGGTAAAAGGCCATAATTACAAGGTTAGCATGAAAACCAAGTGCCTGTTGCCCAAAGCTTTTGTTTTTGAAGCTTTTTCCTTTCCGTTCCCTGCCCTCCAATGTGCATAGCTGAATTAGGAGCAGAGAGGCGCGAGGGTGGTATTAGAAAGCTGTCACCCACGTAGTCCTTTTTCCAGTGTGGATGGGTCTGTTTTTCAGTGTGTTTGAACTCTGAAAGTGCAGCCAAGGTGACCATTTTTCTGGTTGCTGTAGAGTTGGGTGACAAGGTTACAACCTTGTATCTTACTCATTGTCTTAGCAAAATGTTTCCTAAATCAGTTCAGGGAAGATGCTGTGGGTTTGCTTGAAGCTCTTGTACCAACAAGAGACTGGACGACTTGGAAGGAGGATCAACTGCATCTGACTGTGCCCTTAGGGAAGTAAGCGCTCACGCCAAGAGTTTTGGACTTATTTAAATCTCCTTACTAGACGGATGGCGAGTTGCTCGGGCTGGAATTGTGCACATCTTTGGGACCCTCGAATGAAAGGAGCCGTGTACAAACTGCGCTAATTCCACCCAGCTGTGCTCCCTGCTGCCCTTCAGGGAGGGACAGCCCTGGCTTTGCTCTGCAGGGGACGAACGAGAGCAAGGTGTGTGCAAGGGGCGCGCTGCCCTGGGGCCTCCTCGTTAAGGTCAGCAGATTTATCGCAGTGTTGGGCAGTAAAAGGTTGTAGTTCTCATTAACACACTTGACCCCACCTGGCTGCCAATGCAAAAGTGTTTTCTGTTGCTGTGAACAAGAGTGAAGTAGCATGGGAAAAAATTTAAGAGTTTTCCATTAAAAACTTTGGTGTTTTCTGCATGCCTACTTTATTCTTCTTACCATTCCTTTCCTTGAGCCCTTTCCATTCTCTTGTTAGGGAAAAAATATATAGAGATTTGAATATTTCAAAAAAGGCCTTTTTTATTCCAATTGATCCAACTTCATGTGAAAACTAGAGTGACATTTTTATACTACAGGTCTCTGAGTGGACCTGAAGCAGCACTGGGGCTCTTTTTTTTGCTGCTGTTTGGATTTTAAAGTATGCTCTTTGTGGATGTGTCCAAATACTGAATTTCAGCTAGATGTTCAGACCTGCTCCTGCCCATTTAGAAGCTGGTGAAATCCCAATCTGTGAAGGTGAGCAGAGCCCCAGGCCTGATGTGAAATGGCTGTGCAGCGCAGCCTTGCAGGAGCAGCCGTTGGGACCCTCTAACTCCCAGGGAGACTGAATGTGGAAATTTCTTATTTCAAACAGTAGCTTCACTTTAGGCTTAAATGACTTCCATGGACTTGTTTCTTTCTTTTAATTAATACTTTAGCTTTTCTTGCATTGATCTAACATTAATCTTTAACCAGCATGTTTGTGTTCCTGGGTCTGTTTCGTGTTGTCGGTGAGGGCTCCCTTGGCAAAGGTGTCGTTCTCCTTTCCTGTGGTAGGGTTTGGTGAGTTGGATTCCGGACCCGGCAGTGCTTTGAAATGCAAAGGGAAAGATGTAGCTCCCATCCCATCTCCCATAGTGAACCATATGCATCTTGCTTAGCCTGCGGTGCAGAGTCTTGAGGTCATAGCTGCATGTCATCTCCTTTTGGTTTTTAAGAACAAGCAGCTTCATCTTCCTCATGCTTTTATTCTGGCAGTCTTTTCTCTTGGCTTCTTTTCCTTGGGACCCAGGGAACAGAATGAATTCATCTCTTTCTGACCGCAGCTCTGGTGCAGCTTTGATATAATTTGCACCACTTGATGTGAGTATTCCCAGACAAAATGGAAACCAGGCTCTTTCCATCTTGTTCTGCTTTTTTGGAGTGGATCTGCTTGACTTTGCCAGAGAGAGGTGCAGTCTCAAAATGTTGGATGACTCCCCCTGCTTTTCTTCTTCCCTCCTTTGGCTTGCCATGTGGTTCAGTTTAATCACATTCAGACAAGTGTAGAGGATTGTGGTGTATCTTGTCAGCTAATTACGATTAAACTCTCATACCATAGGGCGTGCATCTTTCTGAGACTGAGTCCTTTTTTGTAAATAGTGTTCAGCCTGTCTTCATTTTTTATTTTTTTCTTTTTAGAAATACATTTTTTTTTTCTATTCACCGTTGCTGGCATACAGCTATTGCTGCAGGCCTTAGAGATGAAGATCAAAAGCCTCATCTTTTTTCTCAAAAGTGGATAGGGCTTCTTATTTACCAATAAAAGGTCCCTCTGGCTTCTTAAATTCCCTCCTTTGAAAATACAACATGAAGCAGCAAAGGATCTCCCTCTCATTGCACATCATTTTCTAGTATCATGAAACCAAATAAGCCCACTTGATTTGGACTAAAATGACTTGAACTGAATTTAAAAACCTGTCATCTGTGGCTGATACCACAAACTATTTTGAGTGAGAGCTCCGATCCTGCACCCCTCCCACCGAGTTGTAACTGTGGCTGCAGACTTGTAAGGAGTAGAAGAAACTTGGACTTCAGCTAGTATGTTTTATAATAAATCTGTGAACTTTAGGAGAGGCACTCAGAGCTTTGTAAGCTGAAAATCAGTCCAGGATCCATGTAGTAATTTCAGGAAGCGGAATTCCCCTGAGGCTTTAAAACCACTTTCCCATTTCATTTTTGTTTCTCAATAAATGCCTAATGCTTTGCTACAGTATATGGGTAAACTGCAGAGCTTTATTTGCTCTGCAACTTCATTATAACTGTTCTATTTGGTCTGCGTGCAGGTTTTGATCCATTTT